ACAAAAATGTGTGATTAGGCTGATTAATCATGTTTGATAAATCAAGTCGTATAGGACCTGATCAACCGAGAGAAACAGATCAGTCCGTTTCGCGATTCACGGCTAGCTCGAGCGCCGGGCTAAGGGCTAGGCTGGCTAGCAAGCTGCGCTAGATGTGATGCACGCATATAGAGGTCAGTGTATTGCACACATAGTACATGCACAGAGTACGCACGCACAGCTACCAGTTACGGGAAACTTGAACGCTACATCGACGATATATTCACTCGCTTTTTGGAAGTTATATATCATTTATCTAGACTAACGTCAGATTAAGAACCAAAACCATGCCATGGAGGAGCCTTCTGGAGTATACTCAAGTATGTTTTTGTCCATATCTACATGTATATTTCCAGGGGATTTTGATGAAGGTAAACGGCGTTAGGTATAAATGGGTACGGTACTCGAAAGTCAATGCAATACATGTGAATCGCACGCAAACTGAATCTCGCACCGTCGTCAATCATTTCAGCTGAGCGGCCCGCTGTTCATATTGTGATGTCACTTCAAAAATCAGCTGACTTACGATGTTTTGGGGGCGTTGAGTAGGTTGATTTTTCGTCAATTTCAATCAAGTTTTAAAAATTTCTCTCGAATGTACAAGTTACACAAATGTAATGATTTTACTCAGTGTAATTTTTCGATTGCAATGATACCAAATTCAGTCAAGTTTGAAATCAATAAACCATCTCTTTACAGGTAAAGACCAGTATTGGAAGCGCCCCAATTTCAAAAATGAAATGGAAGCTCTCATTACCAATCATGTGAGAGAATATGTTTTGACTAATACATGATGATAAAAAATTTGCCAGGAAACCGCCTACTAATTCATATATTTGGTAAATTTGTTTCTCTCATGGTCTGTGAGAGATATAGGGTAGTCCCATATACTGTGTATAGTGCTTGTAACTTTACGAAGAATGGGCCAAATTTCTTATCATTTTGATGATTCCAGAACCTTGCAGATGCTAGATGCTAGATGATCAACCTTTTCTGATCGATTCCACAACGTTTCTTTCACAATGCAATTGCATGACCATAACTGGTCTTTACCTTTAACAATGTATTTAAAATCAGCTGATACCTATAATGTTCCATGTTGAGCTTAAATTGAAGCTGGCCAAACATCAGTACACAATTACAGTACATGCAGGCGCGATAGCTCAGTCGGTAGAGCAGTGGTCTCGTAATCCAGTGAACCTGGGTTCGAATAACTTCGAAACCAGTGCCTTTTGGTAAGGCAGTAAATCCTCATTACCAGGTCCCTCGGAGAGGACCTAAAGCCGTCAGCCGTCTGGTTGCTTACTTACAAGCATTTATGCTTTCTTAGCAGTCAGGTACATGTATAAAATAACAACCACCACCGATGTACATGTACATTTATTTTATGTTAGCCCTGCACACACCTTGGAAGGTTATGCTGTTTTCTCACACTTTCATGTATACCTGTATGATCTAACTTTACATTAACGTGAAATGATTCTTTATCACACATTCCTTCAAAACAATGCTCAAACCACCATTCCAATATACAATGTTCTGTATTCTGTTACACAGCAATGTTCAGACTTCCGTAACAGTTTTATACAGATATTCTTAATGTTATACAATGAATTTTGCTAGTCTGAACAAGGCTAGGGTGTCTCTCCCACATCCCAGAACACCTACAGGTCAAACTTATGTCAGATTCTTGCCACAATTGTTGGCAAACAGTTAGTTACAAAGAGATTTGTCCACAGTTTCAAGTTCGACTGAAAGGCGTGTTTATATTATAATGGATCACAAATTCTTTGCAGAGGTGGTTCTTCCAATACAACAATGAATAAAAGGGAGCTTACGAGTATCACTATCAGCAACTTTAGCAATCTTAGCATACCTGTAACCAAAAATGTTGCGGTGTTGTGGTCTAGTGGATATGTCACCGGACTTTGGATCACTTCACTTCATTCCTAATTCTATCCTTTAACTTTATATCCATCTATCCACCACCTACATATCCATCCGCCTATCCATCCATACATCCATTGATCCAATTCTACTTCAGTATGAATAAAGCAAACTTTCCACACAGGGGGGCGTTTCACAAAAACTTGTCATCAGTGACAAATGACAGTTTTTGTTATTTTGAGCAACCAAAATCTTTGCTTCTGATTGATTATCAGCAGATTTGTCACTGATTTTAGTCTATTTGTCATTGAAAAAGGGCTTTCTGAAACGGGTCCCTGGTCTCCCCCTCTCCACAAAGCCAATGTCAAATCTCTATTCAATTCTATTCTATTCAATTTCACTAGCCATATCTGGGATTCATCTTTGAAGTGTCACATGCCTCATAAAAATAGCTACTTGTCATTGATAGGCAAACTTCATCCAATTACACTCAAGAATCTCCGCCCATCTTCAAACTCTGACTTTTATTGATAATAAATATAACACTTGGTATTTCAAGCTCTCTAGATAGCTTTTAATCTCTTCATTTTAATTCCTGCACTTTGTCAGAGCAGTTTATTTTGTCAGTGGTTAACTTTCAATTTCTTTATTGTATTTAGTATACAACAGTAAAATCTGTTCTAGAAATGTTAAAATTTGTATAAATAGATGAATATAAATGAATTCAAAGAATTTACTTTTATTTCCTTACTTGAACATCATAAAATATTCTACCATTTTCAAAACGTAAAAAAATAGAAATTAAGTATATATTTAAAGGTAAACACCAGTATTGGAAACGCCCCAATTTCAAAAAATAATATGGAAGCTCTCATTACCAATCATGTGAAAGAATATGTTTTGACTAATACATGATGATAAAAAATTTGCCAGGAAACCGCCTACTAATATATTTGGTAAATTTGTTTCTCTCATGGTCTGTGAGAGATATAGGGTAGTCCCATATACATCTTTCTGTGTATAGTGCTTGTAACTTTACGAAGAATGGGCCAAATTTCTTATCATTTTGATGATTCCAGAACCTTGCAGATGCTAGATGCTAGATGCTAGATGCTAGATGATCAACCTTTTCTGATCGATTCCACAACGTTTCTTTCACAATGCAATCGCATGACCATAACTGGTCTTTACCTTTAATGTAGACAGTGACAGTACGGTGTGTCTAATTTTTTCATAAAGTAAAAATGCCTTGATAAAGTTGATTGTGAAAGTAGCAGATCTTTTTATCGTTATTTTACAGAGCTGTTTAGAAGAATATGGACCAACATTTATGCAAATTATTGTACTATTATATATTCTAAATGTATATTTCTTTCTACCAAGTTTTGTAATTTTGTATGTGAAAGATTGATTTGTCCCCCATTTATGGTTCTTGAGAATATGACATATCAAAGCTTACATCTAAAAGTATTCAAAAAAGGCCTTGATTCAACCAACCCACCTTTCATTCTCGAGTTACGAAAAAACATAGTAACATCAAATTTACAAGGGGTATGAATAATTTAGTTGTTGAAGGCAAATTTAATCGTGAAATATTGCAATTTACATAAATGCAAACACTTCCCTTTTCATAAATTTGCTATTTCCACTAGGGTAAAAGTTACTACAATATTTGCTTCCCAGGCATCCTTGAACGCGAGCATGCAATAATACTCTTGAGATAGGAAATGACTTCAACAGTATTCTCTACTCAGAACCAAAAGGGCATTAACGCTCAGTTAACAACATCCTTCTGGCTCTCTCTCTCTCTCTCTCTCTCTCTCTCTCTCTCTCTCTTTCTGTAACATACATACATGTACATTATATCTTGCATGCACACACACACATTAAAAAAAAAAATTGGGGACACAAGGCACTGAAAAGTAAGCCAGACCCAGACTTAAAGTTTGCCCTATCTGAAGTTTAGCAGGCTTCCTGAATAGAGGAATATAGGAAATGGAATGGAGATATGAACAGCACGTACATGTACACATGCGTCTATGGACGCTGGGTTGCGATTATACATTTCAATTTTTACTTTGACTCAGAAATTGTGCTGAATTGCATATTTGATTTGATAAGTCTTTTTTTAGGAGAAAAGTGAATTGTAGAGTTACAATGGATGACTTGGTGACATCATGAACTTGAAGCTAATTCTCAAGTTCCTCGCAATTTGAAGATATGCGGGTGAGACCTGGGAGTATGACGTCAATGAAAATAATCTTAACCTTTTCTTTAATTCTTAAGAAAAAAAGGGGGATCTAAACCTCTAAGGTACAGTTCAACCCCTGAGTCTATATAGGCTAAAAACTTTAAAAATGCCAAATGGGCTTTGAAAGTGAATGCTGTGATTTTATTGAAGGCGAAGTCCATCCTGATGTTAAAATGAGAGGAACAGGTCAGTGTAAGTTTGATACTGCTTTAGTACATTACATACAGAAAAGGAATTTTTGAAGCACATCTACCGGGTATAACATTTTGTTGACCCAAACACTAAAATAAGGACAATGGTATCTGCTTTAATATTAAAAGTACTGTATCTGTTTGAAATTATGGCAAGACAATGCAACACTCCCCCCCCCCCCCATTTTTTTTCTATCTGTAACTGAGAATTATACATTTAATGTGCACACACTCAAAGCAACAGGACAGCTTCTTGAAATGTTAATCATTTACATGTAAAACACAGTGACAGTTAAAATACATGGACTGAAACACAACATTGTATACCTTTACTCTTGACAATAATACAGACATACAAGTATTAGTGTATTTGGACACAAGCAACAAATACAGGAAAATATGTGCACATGTACAGTACATAACGGAAATCCCTTGAAAATGTAAATTCATTGTATGATACCATCAAGATTTAAAGTAACTCCAAACAAAATCAAAAACAACAAAATCAAAAACAGCAGATTCAATTCCAAAAAGTTAGGGAATCAAATAAAATCCAAGGTAAACCTGCATTCAGAATCTGTATTTTCATCATCAACATGAAAATGTCCAAAAATGTCCACACTGAAACGTACCTTCAACTTTAACAGATGTTTGAAGCGAGCCTGGACGTGGTATGCCCCCTCCCGGTTTGGCAATCTTAGAGGGCGCTTTTAACCCTGATGGTCGAGACGCCATCGCCACCGCTGGTAGTTTCCTTAAAAACTGTTAAATTCCTTGTTCTCCTGGACTAAAGTGAAGTCTCTAGTGATGCCGAAATCATCACAGATATGATCGTGACGCACGGTTCAACCTCGGTTGTTCAGTTTTGTTGGGCATCTACTCGTGAAAAAAGTGGCCAAGCTTTGTCCATTTTACAAGAACTCTGGATACAATTGTCTGCTATATGTACTCCCACTCTCCGGAAATGATCAGTAAGAGGATCTGCATAGAGAACAGAAATATATGGAATGGGGTTAAATTTCCTACATGTTTTCATAACATATTTATCTGTTCTGAAGCATAGGGGCATGAACTCTGTGTTAAAGCACAAGTTAATACCCTTCTGTCTCCAAAAGCCGAAATGTAACATATTTCATTGAGGGAAAGTCAAAGTACACTTTAACCAAAACGCAAGCTAATGAAAATGATACCATCCAAAAGTCAATCTGTTGAATAACAAGCCAAAGATAACTCAAACTGCAACAGGATTTATTGAAAATGCATGTTGCACATGCACATCAAATCCTGGGGTTCAAGAACCCCTTGAAGTTTTGGAGGCCAGAGAAAACACTTGCTGCAAATGTAGCTAACATGTTTATGAGACAGTAACATTTGTATCAATTGTACATGCATCCCACTGATATCACAGAAGCAATACACATTTCTGCCTTGTGAAGAAAACTAGGGCCCTGTTTCATTAAACTTGCTATCAATAACAAATGCCTAATGTCTATGACAAATTTGCTCTCAGCCAATCAGATGCCATGATTTCAGGAGTTTATAACAATAATTGTAACTTGTTATTGATATCAAGTTTTATGAAACCTGGCCCTGGTTTACCGCAGACTGTTGGTCAGGACAATGAAAGTGTGTGGACAAATGCCACAAACAAGACAACACCGTAGCAGAGATACTGTACAGTGGTACCACAACGTTGCCTAGGAAGATCATACATGTACATGTAGTTTGCATAGGCCCTTGCTACTCGTACATGTAGTGCATAACAAGTGTCTGAACTACGCAACTACAGTGTATGCACACATGTAGATACATAGTCACGTAGTTCAGACACTTCTACATCTACACATGTACATGTATAGTCCCGGTTACATCTGTTTTTATATGTTTTGTATTCTTCCATCATGTATGTCCTCCTCCCTTACAAGCATCCCACACATGCAGAGCACGGTGTCTCCACTCATTGCGCGATCCCCCAAAACAATCGTAAAAAAGAATGGGTAGAGAATGAGAGGCAAGGACTGCCCTCTCCGGTTCAGCGTTGAGGGTGTGTTATTTTCTCAGCTGATTGGGCATGTGACTTCTCCTGACACAGCCAGAGACTGACTGACAGAGCTAGGCTTAACTCGGGACCATATGGAATTGTGTTTCAGTGTCAAATTAGCGAGCATATACAGTACATGTACATCATAGCATTCATGTATCTCACTTTCAGATGCATTGATGTGCATCTAGATATGATATAGGAGGTTGGCATGGAGCCATTGGCCATGCCCAGTGTGTGAAACTGAGCCTTGTGGAAGTTTATATTGCTTTTAGGATCAAGGAAACTGAAACTGAAATGATTTATTATGGGTACCGGTTATCACATGAACTGCATTAATAATGAAGATATCATTATGTAACTGAACTTAACATTTTGAAATAGGGGTTTCCCCCCCCCCCCCAAAAAAAAAACATTTTAATTCAAACATACGATTTGAGTTCTCATACATGTATATTCTATTACAGTATGTAAAATAATTTGTCAAAAGCCTTCTCCCAAATCCATCAAGTGCTTGCAAGAGGTGAGGACCAAAGATAGAAGAAGAAAAAAAAACAAGCTAGCCCCTTTCTTTGACATCAATGTTTTTCTACGGAATATTTTAGTAAGCCCACACGAAGACCCTCCAGTGTACTTGTACAGTTGTATGCACAATATAATGAAGGAATAGAAGTGCATGGATAAAATGCTTGGATACATGTAGGTTTGTAAAGAAACAGATCCATCTTAACTCAAAGGCTACTCGGATCCTTTAAGTGCACCTAATGAACAGTAGATGGATTACCGTTAGGTGGATTTATACAATGTATCATTAGGTAATTTGCACTAATATTCGAATCTGACCCTCCCCCCCCCACCCCCCCCCCCTTAATTTTTTTTATTTAGAGGGGATGTGAACATTCAGTACAGTAGTGTTTATTACATGGGTTTCAAAGGATTTGAGGGTATCAATTTCACATTTTGTCAAGAATTCTAAAACATTATCATCAATGTTACCCTCTTACAGCACAAATTGTGTTTTAAGTCAGAATTAAGAACATTATGAACATATAAAATTTCACTAAAATAGAAAATATAAACATCCGGTGTTGATTGAAACTTATAACTAACCCCAATGTATTGTGAAATTGAGATTACCAGATCATTAGAGGTAAATTGCATTTTCTGGAGTACAACAAAGTGGTCACCATGATCTGTCCATCAATCAAAATTTAAGTTATTCCTTAATATCCACATTCAGACAAACAAAAACTCATTGTATAGCTAAACCAAAACTCTACAGCTACAAGCAAACTCAAGATCAATTTTGGGTCATGTTGTACAGACAATTTTTTATAGTCATATAGAGGATTGAGTATCATTATGAAAGGAACTTTGACAGGGAGTCTGGGGCTTTCACCTGCATAATTGTGCAAACATTGTATCAAATAAAATAAAGGTCTGTAATAACTTTCTGTATTACTATTTACTTGGTGGGGTTAACATACATGTATAGCAAGCCCTCATGCTAATATGACTGGTAAACTGTATCCTTTTAGCTTGGAGTTATAATGCCCATTTCGATGACACTAATATATATATACACTGTATGGTGTAAACTGACCTACGATGTACATTTGCAATGTTGATTTAAACAATATTCTTAGCTTGCGTTCACACGACACCTTTTACTATCTTTCACTTAGAGATACATTTCTTCATATGAATAGATATTAATATTCTCTTGTGTGAATGACCTTCTAGGAAAGTTGTATTTGGCTGTGCACACAAGACAGGAAGCTATTGACACAAGAGATGAAAAGGCAGGAAATGGGGGGTAAATTAATAAGCAAGCTTGAATTACCACTGCGGAGTGAATAGGCAAAGATCTGAGGGCAAGGAAACCTTGAACCTGGTAATGGATCTCAAACGGCTTCATTTAAGTCCCCACCCAGTCTCCATAGACTACTTCTTTAAACTTGATCAGGGCTCTACACTGGCAGAGGCCCGATGCACATGAGCCCCAAAATTACTAATGTTCAGTGTCCTTTTAGCTCTCAGCCAACACAGAGATCTGACATCGACCCCTTTTTAATATTTCAAATCAAAATTCCACTCTGTCAGATATGTCTGAAGCTTTATCAGATTTGCAACAAAATATTGAACAAAATTGAATTTCTTTTGTCCAGAATGATAAATTTGAGAGAGAATGATATACAATGTACATGTAGTGAGCATCAAGAGTCGAGAGTTCCCAGGCTAATTCTATTTGGAGACGGGGATTATTTTCTCGGCATGAAGCAATTCTTCAATTTACAATGTCATAAACCCTAGGGTCTGTCGTATGAAATCTAAGCTCACTGGTACTACACGTAGCTCCATTGACCACATCGAAACTGTTTTCCAAGCAAAATTTGAGGATTGCAGTATTTCTTACATTCAAATTGTATTCATACTGTACATTTAGTAACAGTATTTTGGGTTCATAGGGCTTTAATTCATCAACAGTTTTCAACACTGTCTCTATTAAGCGCTTTACAGATGTGTAAGTTATTAATGTATTTTATAAGCATAACAAATTTCAAAGTCATATTTCATAAAGTTCGGGTATAGATCTGTTAAATATTACATGATTTTGCTTACCGGTAATTTAAAGCAAGTCTGTCAATGGTCCTCTAAAGGAATAGTAGAGTAAATATAAAGACGTAATCATATTCATGTACAATATGTAGACAACCCCTCAATTAGCCCATTGAATATGACAGCGTTCAATATTTTTCACGCCCATGATTTCCCATCCAACGGTGAGTTATAACTGAATAAACATTTACTTATCTACAATTGCATGCGAACCATATGGTACTTTCCCACAGCATACAGTATTCCATACATCAAATTGGCACCACGTAATGACAATACAAAGGCCAAAGGGGTTCTCACATCACTCACACTATGGGTATAAACAAGACTAGAACACTGCTTCTGATCCAACAATCAATCTTTGTGACAACTTAATTTTTACATTTTAATCCTGATTTGAGTGAAGTACTAAAAAAAAAGAAATTGAACCAATTCTTTTTTAATGCACGATATTTTACATTAAAAAATCTAGAGAAGCTTATCAGTATTTTGAAATATGGGTACATATAATTATGTACATGTACATGTACAAGTATAAAGTTAAATGGAAAAATGTGTGGATCATGTAAGGATCCCTTAACTTGCAACTTGTAAATGCCCCTATAGAATGATTTTATGGTTATCGTGATTGTTGATAAGTGAATACATGCAAGATATTTTTCACTAAAAAATCTAAAGAAACTATTTAGTGTTTGACATACATCTAACATAAATTTTGAAATATGGGTAAATATAATTATGTACATTTACAAGTATAAAGTTAGATGGAAAAATGTGTGGATCATACAAGGATCCCTTTACTTGCAGTGAAATGACCCTATAGAATGATTTTATGGTTATTGTGATTGTTGATATAAAGTGACTAGCCCTTTACTACTGGAGAGTATCAGGTCTTGATCCAATATTTACAAGAGACTGTTGACAGAAACCCACACCTGAACAGCATGATAATTGCCTCAACTATACCGCTCTCTAAAAACAACTGGAAACCCTGAACCTGTCTGCTTTCTACTAGCAAAACCCTAATGGGACATTCTGTCAGAACTCATTAGAATTCCACTCCTAGAAACAGACATTTGGGAGCCACTGTATATTGCACAGTGGACTAAAGACTAACCACCAACTAAGTTTGTTTACGATGTGAGGTATGCGATGAATGTGCAGCGTGGATGTGAGTTAACGCTCTCATTAGAAATGTACTCTGGTGTATATCTCACATGACCTGATGCGTGAACTTGACATTCAATGGGGTCACTGACCTTTATCCTATATAAGTGTACAGTATCAGTCAACCAACTCTTCATGTGAAGCCAATCTGAGA